GAGAGAGAGAGAGAGAGAGAGAGAGAGAGAGAGAGAGAGAGAGAGAGAGAGAGAGAGAGAGAGAGAGAGAGAGAGAGAGAGAGAGAGAGGAGACAAGAGAGGAGACGAGAGTGGGAGAAAAAGAGAGAGAGAGAGAGAGAGAGAGAGAGAGAGAGAGAGAGAGAGAGAGAGAGAGAGAGAGAGAGAGAGAGAGAGGAGATGAGAGAGGAGACGAGAGAGGAGACAAGAGTGAGGGAGAAAAAGAGAGAGAGGAACTTCCCAGTGATTAGGCCAGCGCAGCCATAGCTGCCATGTGTATACAACTGGGAACTGCTATGATGTCCTTTGGGTTCTATTAACAACTTCCAATTCTCAGCTGGTTTTTATCTCTCCTCTTTTTTTTCCTTTTTTTTTTAACCAGCAGACTCTAGTAGGTGCAAGGAAGATGAGCATTAGCGAACTCCAGCAATCAAACAGCATCATACATATGTGTCCAGATAGTCTTGACCTCGAACCAACAGCAGTCATGCATCACGAGATTCACCAAATCAGAACACACCAATAGTTCGTAATTGACAATGCTAAAATAGTCTCTCATCATCATCAACGAAGAACAAGAGTTGATATCCTATTGGCGCTCGGCGCCCAGACTACTTGTGGCAGATCCTATCTAGCCTAATACTACAATGCCGATGTTGACAACAACAGCTCCCCGAAGTACGAGCATACAGCGGGCAATGCCGCACGCTTCCAGCACCAGGTATGTCTCTGGTAACACTCACAACCCCGATCCACACCGCACAGATGCCACTTGCACCCAAGGACCACCCTGCGTCGCATCCAGCCTACAGCGGAGCAGCTTGGCTATGGCTGCCCGCTACCTCCCAGCTCGCCCGTGAGAGCGTGAGTGCCAGCCAGCCAGCAATGAGCGCAGCAGCGCTTGCGTAGCTTCCAGCCAGCACCCGAATACCGAATGAGGAGGCAGGCCCTTCCCTATATCGAAGTGGTCTGCCTGCGTCCAGTCCAGGAAGCTTCCGGTAGGCCCCGGTAGGCACAGGCCCAGTCACGAAGAGAGCAGGCCTTGGGCCTGGAGTGGTTGCATGCGCCCAACTGCTTTCGGCCTATGTTTGGCCCGGTACCCGTATCCAGCCCAGGGACTGCTTCACATTCATTTACACAGGCGGCCCAGGGCCTGTATTCATTCAACCAACTGGCGCAACGCAACTGTCTGAATTTCCCCAATGCGGGGTACCCTGAAGAACGAGGCCCGAAGGGCCTGTCGTGCCTGCCTTCACTTAGGGCGGCCGACCTTGTTGCAGATAGGGCCCCGTAGGGGCTAAGCAGGCGTAGCCTTGCATAGGGGAGTCGATACAGGCATCCCCCATTACTAGAGTCTCCCAGGTTGCTCCATCTATTGGTGGGGAGCTGCTGATGTATCCAAGGTGGTGTGTTTTTTTAGTGGCGAGCATCCATTGGATGTGAATTGAGCGGGATCACTGCACAACAGTTACTTCCTGTAGGTCATATATATCCACAATATGGATGATTGCCACTCAACTGGACGTGCTAGGATCTTCCCCCGAATATTGCAGCACAACATTATTCATCACGAACGCATATGCACTCTTTTAAGGTGGGTCCAAATATGGTAGTCATAACAATGGGACTTTGTGGTCGAGGAAGACCGTGGCCCACGGACAAAGGAAGGCCTTTGATGATGAGGGGAAGACCCCACCCCAGAGAAAAAGGAAGGGCAGCAGGATAACATACCATATCGAGAACGACATAAAAACAGGGATCGAAAGTCGTATACCTTCAGAAAAGAACTGCCTACGGTAAACCGTAGGCAGAGAGGGAAGGAGAAGAGGACAACAAACGAGGGGCTGTGACAAACTGTTTCGTCGGAGTTTCACCAACTCAGCAGGAGGAAAAAACTTGAATGATTTCTATTTAGAGGAAACTACGGCGCAAGTCACGTTTTCAGTGTTCTAAATCCACTTCAGGCGCCCCTCGAATACAACACACCCCACCCAAACCTAAAGCTGGGTTGGATTACATTCACGATTTTCCTCACTGTGTAGTAAAATTTGAGAAACCGTGACTGAAACGCATTTAAATTTTAAAACTGAAAAATTGAAAACCTTGACTGTGCCCTAGTTTTCCCTTCTATTTAACTTATAATAGAAAATGAAAGTTCAGTATGTATGTCGACCGTAGGCAGATTTTTTTTTTTTTTTTTTTTTTTCCCAATCGTAGGAAGGTATATATATCGTCACAAACATATATACCTCTAGTGCCAGCGGCGTGTCTGGAGTGTATTTTTTGGCTGTGACAGACCTTTCTTTGTTTCGTGGATGTTTTGCTGGCTTGTGATGGGGTGTGAACCGACAGTCTGTAGAGTTTTCCATC